GTGTTTGATGGGGGACAGTGTAGAGGGAGATTTACTCTGTATCTAACACCGTGCTATCCCTGTCCCTGGGAGTGTTTGATGGGGGACAGTGTAGAGGGAGCTTTACTCTGTATCTAACCCCGTGCTGTTCCTGTCCTAGGCGTGTTCGATGGGGACAGTGTAGAGGGAGATTTGCTCTGTATCTAACCCCGTGCAGTCCCTGTCCTGGGAGTGTTTGATGGGGGACAGTGTAGAGAGCGCGTTACTCTGTATCTAACCCCGTGCTGTTCCTGTCCTGGGAGCGTTTGATGGGGGACAGTGTCGAGAGAGATTTGAAACAAACACAGACATTGCTGGAGAAACTCAGCAGGTCTGGCAGCATCTGTGGAGAGAGAAACCAAATTAACATTTTGAGTCCAGTGTGACTCTTTTTCAGAATTGAAAGGGGTTGGAAAATGTATTTTTTCAATAGTTTTGATTGAGGCAAGGGGAGAAACAGAGGGTGTGGAGGCTCAGTGTAAAAGACAAAAGGGTGGTTAATTGTGGTGGAAGAGAAATTGAGGTCTAAAACAGGTGTAAATGATGGTAAAAAATAATTTTTCAGGCTGAGAGTGAAGTAACAAGGCACAAACAAGGCTGGGGAGAGATTGGCAAGAACATAGAACATAGAACAGTACAGCACAGTACAGGCCCTTCGGCTCACGATTTTGTGCCGAACTTTTATCCTAATCCTAAGGTCTATCTAACCTCCTCCCCTACCTTATACTATCATCCATATGCCTATCTAATAGCCGCTTATATGCCCCTAATGAGGCCGACTCCACTACCCTCTCCGGCAATGCATTCCACGCCCCTACCACTTTCCGAGTAAAGAACTTACCTCTGACGTCTCCCCTATATCTACCTGCACTCACTTTAAAACTATGCCCCCTCGTAATAGCTACCTCCACCCTAGGAAAAAGTCTCTGGCTGTCCACTCTATCTATACCTCTGATCATTTTGTACAGAAGAATGTATGACAAAAAGTGGAGAACAAACCTCATGGGATCATTCTAAGATTGTGGAATTCAATATTAACCTCTTAACGCTGTAAAGTGCCTAAGCAGAAGATGAGGTGTTGTTTTCATGCTTGCGTTGTGCTTCATTGGAGCATTGCAATAGGCCCAGGACAGAAATGTGAGCATGAGAGCAAGGCGGTTTATTAAAATGACAAGTAACTGGGAGGTAAGGCTTATTCCTATAGAAAGAGGGTGGGTATTTTGCAAAGTGGTCACCCAGTCTGCTTTTAGTCTCGCTAACGTAAAGGAGACCACATTGTGAGCAGGAAACTGGATTGAAAGAGGTATAAGTAAAACACTGTTTCACCTGGAAGGTGTGGTTGAGGCCTTGGACTGTGAGCAGGGAGGAGATGAACGTGCAAGTGTTACACCTTCTGCAATTGCATGGGAAGGTGCTATGAGGGAGTGATGAAAGATTGGTCCCTGCCAATATCTGACAGTGAAGAGGAATGGTAGATGTGTTTTGTGCTGGCATCCCATAAGAGGTGGCAGAAACGGTGAATGGTGATCCTTTCAATGCAGAGATTAGTGAGGTAGACAGCAAGGATAGTCACAGGAGGTGAAAGTGAAAACTGAAAATGCTGATAGCTTCTGCCTGGATCTATCATATACCTAAGCTTAAATGTACTCAGCTTCAAGTAACCTCTTCTAGGTTTTATCCCAACACTTCTTGTTTGGGGTTATCACTAACTCCTTACTCAAAGTAATCTAGCTTTGCTACATTCTCCCTTTCTCAGGAACACTGCTGTATACAGCCATGTCTATCCAAGGACTTCAAAGAACTGCCCAAAACAGAAAGTCATACTAAAAATAAGCTATAGGCATTCTCCATAAGGCTAAAAATTCAAAACACAAGGCTAGATATCTCTGACAGACTTTAAAGCATAATTGTTTACATTGCTAAGTTGATAAACATCCTTAGGTAAAGTGCTGTGGAAGTAACTCTCTCAAACTGTTTTAAAAGAAATCAACATAGCTACAGAAATACTAACAAGTTAATTACTAACTACAGACACACAGAGAACCCATTTGTCACTAAGTCAGACTTAAACTAAGTTATATTATAAATATATAGAAATAAAGCAGTTTATATCACTACTGCATCACCCAGAAGTGAATTAGTGAGAATGGAACAGGAACCCCTGAAAGCAAAAATAACCTCAAGAATTATAAAATATGCCTCAAAAACAAAATTATTTTGACATAGGCTGGGTCTAAAGAAGTGGAGTTGGATGCTTTATATGAATGACTAAGTAGTGTGCACTTGTTTGACAAAGATATGGTTATAAAGTGCATCATATTCAAACCTGAGCTTTAGGTGGTTATAATAAACAGAGACAGAGTACAAAGGCAAAAACATTTCACTGAATGTATATAAAACTGCTTGGCCTCACTGTGACTATGGTTTACAATTCTGGGTTTTGCTGAGAATTCAGAACAGTTACTGGAGTGGCTCAAGAGATGAGGGATTACAAGAAAACTGAGATCACGCTCCTTAGAGCTGAGTACCCTGATGAGTGATATAAAATTCTGAAGGGTTTTAATAAAATAAATAAAAACTGTTTCCAATGGCTTTCAATTTCATTTATTTTGATTGGCCAAAAAAAAGCAAAGGTTTTGATTCCTTCCAAAAAAAAACAAAGTGCACACCCTCCTGGGTTTTGAGGTTGGTACAAATTTTAAACTAGCATTCAAAAAGAAAATGGATAGATACTTGAAAATAATTTGGGACAGAATAGATGGAATTGGATAATGGTCAGACTGACTGGATTTTTCTTCATGAAAACTGTCAAAGACTCGATCAGCTGAATGGCCTCCATGTTGCATTAGTCTATTGGACCCATGGTACATTGCAAAGCTATTGAGGGTTTGAAGGGAGTGGGGGAAGGCAAGGTGAGAAGAGACCCAGAAACAGGAGAAGCACCAGGGTCCATGATTTCTCTCCTTTAGCCTTGGTTACATTACACACAATGTTCTAACTCACAAGGGGAGGTGATGGCCTAGTGGTTTTATCACTGGATTGCTAATCCAGAGACCCAGATATTGTTCTGGGGATCTGAGTTCAAACCTTCTTTTCTGAAGAAGGGTCTAGGCCCGAAACGTCAGCCTTCCTGCTCCTCTGATGCTGCTTGGCCTGCTGTGTTCATCCAGCTCTACACCTTGTCATCACAGCACATGGTGGAATTTGAATTCAACAAAAAAAAAATCTGGAATCAAGAGTCTAGCCATTGTTGATTGTTGGAAAGACTCACCTGGTTCACGAGTGTCCTTTAGGGAAGGAAACTGCCATCCTTACCTGGTCTGGCCTACATGTGACTCCAGACCCACAGCAACTTGGTTGACTCCTAACTGCCCTCTGGGCAATTAGGGATGGGCAATAAATGCTGGCGCAGCAACACCCACATCCCATGAATGAATATTAAAAAAAGCAGTCTGACCGTGCACCCTCACAACTAAGAGGAAAAACATCCTCCCTCTTGCCACTCCATTTGATGTCACTGACTGCATGTTTAACAGCGGAGACACAGGCCACTTGGCCCACTTACTCAGTGCTGTCATTTATGCTCCGCAGGAGCATTCTCCCACT